TAGAGTCTGTTCCCTGCACTGGCACAGCTGGGGTATCAAGTCCTTCCTTGGGTGGGGGGGCTTGGAGGTGTAGCTCCATGTTCACAGCTCGTTATACCCTATCCCTGTCCCTGTCCCCCCACCTTCTGCCATCCTTGTCCCTTTACACCCCAGCAGCACTAAAGTGCTTGAGGGCACCATGCCTTTGTTCATACTGCCTCTTTTCTTAGAATGTTCCTCCTCTCCTCTGTTGAGCTACCTTCCACTCATTCTTTTTAAAATTTTTTATTGAACGATAGTTGATTTACAATGTCGTGTTAGTTTCTGGATTAACCTCTGGGCATCATTTCCTCTAAGATGTTTTTCTGGACTCCTCAGAACCAGATAAGATGCTTTTCCATCGCGCTTGCAAAATATCTTGCACCTCAGGCTTCTTTCCCACGCTATTGTTGTGGGTCTGCTTGTGTTTCTGTCTCTCGTTCCAGATAGGGAGCCCCTGTTTATGTTCATTAAATGTATGATTGGGTAGAAGAATGATGGGGCTTGTTAACAGCACTGGTATGTGAGTGTGTAGTCCTGTTGGCTAAGAAATTACAAAGTAGATCAGTTACAACGTCATGTTTGTTTATTCAGACTTTTACACTTGTGATAAACATTCTCTGAAATCCTCTGAATCTTTTTTTCATTTGGCTGGCTGGCTGCTTTGCAAAATGAATACCGCCAGTGGTGCTTTGCTGAGCTGCTGTTTCCCAACCAGCAGGTTGGGACACTTTGATGGGTGGCGAAGATGTTCTTGAGGTGTCACAATTCCCTTGGTTTCCTCATTCTTTGATACCAATTTCTGATTGGCCGGGTGGGATGAGGGGTAATGTGGTAGACAGAGGAGGTGGGACAAGATGGGCAAATATGTGAACGTCTAGGGCTCGGATGTTTGGGGTGTGGGTGATTACAGAGCTAGATCAGCAAAGTGCTGGATGGAATGGAGCAGGAGGTAGGAGGCAGCACACCCTGCCTTGTCTCTATATCCTGCTTTGCACAAGGTTGGTGACCATAAGGTTTCGAATGATTGCAAATGATGTTACCACAGAAGCTTCCTGATGCAGAATCAGGTACCACTGCCAAGTCAAGATGAGCTGAGGATGGAAACTGAAGTGGAGCATGAACTGAGGGAAAATTTGCTCCATATATGTCTGTGTCAAGAATGCTCACATATTAGGACTCTTGTGGTTGCAAATGACAGAAACTCACCCGGAACCACCTTAGGCAAAAAGGAGGATCTGTTGGCTCCTGTAGAAAACCCTGGTAAAGGCAGAGAAGCAGCCGTCTTCTGGGAGTACAGTGATAGAGGCTAGTCCCCGACTAGGGTGGACAGTGCTGATTTCCCAGTGTCAGCTTTCTACTCTTAGACAGATATTTCCAGAAGACTGGACCGTGGATGCCAGCAGCTGCCAGCTTTCATCATCCCAGATTTCATTCCAATTCATAAAAGAAATATCCATGGGGCACCTATTACATGCCAGCCATTGTTCTGATGCTGGACTAGCAGGTGGAAGAAAGACAAGAATTTCTTATATTCTAGGGGAGGAAATTGAGACAGTAAAGAAAAGTAAAGAGGAACATTTTATAGTATATTTGAAAGTGACCAGTGCTATGGAAGGAAAAATTCAAGCATAGAAGAGGGATAGGGACTGCTGGGGGAAGGGGTGGATGTGGCCATTTAAATAGAGCCGTCAGGGAAGGACTTATGAGGGAGATGACATTTGAGCAAGGATGTGGGGAAAAGGGGGTGAGTCATGCAGGTCACTGGAGTTGGAGAGAATGGCAAGTGCAGAGGACGTGAGGTGGGCATGTACCTGGCGTGTGTGAGGAACATGAGCAAAGCCACTGAGACTGAACTGGGGTGAGCAAGGGGAATGGTAGTGGGAGATGAGGCTGGGGAAGTAAGGCAGGTTACATGGGGCTTTGTGGGTCATAGTAAAGACTCTTAGAGTATGAGATGGGAAACCACTAGAGGGTTTTGCTAGGAAGGGTAACATTATCTGATATGCCTTTGGCTCTGGCTTCTCTGTTGAGAATGAACCGTAGAGAGACAAGGGCAGAAGTAGGGAGACCATTTGCCTACTGCAATAATCCAGGTGCAAAATGATAGGGGCTTGGACCTGGTTTGCTCTTTGAGAAGAACTGCTCCAATTTAATGGGGAAATGAGGGCTGTGAAGTCATAAGGTGTCACATGGTCACAAGTATGGCTGGTTGCCCCAGTGAGAGCACCTGGGAGGAGTAGATACAGTTTATTTTTTAAAAATGTTTTACAGAGATCTTTTTTTTTTTTTGGTGGGTAGGGAGTTAATTCTGTGTTATTTTTCCTTTTAATGAAGGTACTGGGTATTGAACCCAGGACCTCATGCATGCTAAGCACACACTCTATCACTGAGCTATACCCTCCCCCAAGGAGTAGTTTATTTTAAATGTGGAAAGCTATTTCTAGAAGAAAGGAAACTGGGAGGCAGGCCACAATAACTGTCTACTTCAACCATTGTTTACTCAAGACTGCTTAAATTTACTTACAAACCAGAAACAGACTCACAAACATAGAAAACAAACTATGATTATCAAAGGAGAAAGGAGGGGAGGAATAAATCAGGAGTCTGGGATTAACAGATAGATATACACTACTAGATATAAGATAGATAAACAACAAGGACCTACTGTGTAGCACAGGAAACTATATTCAATTTCTTGTAATAACCTATAATGGAAAAGAATCTGAAAAAATATATATATCTCTATATATATCAGAATCATTTTGCTGTACACCTTACACTGTTAACACAACATTGTAAATCAATTATACTTCAGTATAAAAGAATATCTAAAAAAAGACTGCTTAAAAGTTTTAGAAGCATTCTCCTATGTGTTTGAATAGATCTAGGAAAAATTATTCACCTGTAAGTCACACAATCTATTCCACTACAGTAGATTGTATTTCCAAAGATGGCCACTAAAACCTCTCCCATCCCATCGGCTCTTTTGCAATGTGACCTCGTCATGCCCCCATCAAGAAGAGAAATCTGTTTCCCCTCCCCTTGGATCTGCGCTGGCCCTCTGAGTTCTTTTCTTTTTTGGGTGGTGGGTTGAGGGGGAGGTAATTAGGTTTATTAGTTACTTTTTTAATGGAGGTACTGGGGATTGAACCCAGGACCTCGTGCATGCTAAGCATGTGCTCTACCACTGAGCTATACCCTCCCAACCAATCAGTAATAGAATGTAGCAGAAGTGATGCTGGGCTCCAAGGCTAGGAATTAAGACATCTATTGCTTCTGCCTTTGCTGCTTGTAATACTCCCTGCATGTAAGAAATCTGATTGTTGTGAGACCACAATGTTGTGAGGAAGTCCTAGCTAACAATATGGTGAGACAGAGGCCATTCAGAGGAGCATCTAGATGCCAGATGTGAATGAAGCCTTATGGTACTTTCTAGTTCTATCTAGTCCCAAACCAAAAGCAGATGAGTGAATAATGCCCGCCGATGTTCTGTGGAGCAGCACTGGCCAGCTAAGCCCAAATCAGATTCCAGATTCACGGTATCATAAACAAATAAAATGAAACTAGAATGGCTCTTCAGAACATTCATGGTTGTCCTGAGTTGGACCAATCAGTCATTGGATGTGGTCACCCCAGCGAGGGGGGTGACCTTGGACGAGGCAGTTCTCTACAGCTAACGCTGTCCCTGAAGTTTGACAGCTGAAGACATTCTGCCAACAGCATTTCCAGCAGTTGAAGCCATAAGTCCTTCCTTAAAGGGATAACTTGGAAGTACCCCACAGTGTCCACAAATATTTTTTGTATATGACTATTTATTTATTTAACTCTCTTCTTGTTGATAAGTATTAAGATTCTTAAGATCTTTGGATATTCTCTTGTGGGTTTTTTGTTGTTGTTTTTATTTTTTTTCAGGGGGCTTAATTAGATTTATTTATTTATTCATTGGTTTTTTTCAAAGTATAGTCAGTTTACAATGTTGTGTCAGTTTCTGGTGTACAGCATCATGTTTCAGTCATACATATATATACATATATTCCCTTTCATATTCTTTTTCATTATAGGTTACTACAAGATATTGAATATAGTGGGAGTTTCCTTTCTATTTCTATTCCCTGGAAGAATATTCATAATATTGGAAAGGGATCTTCCTTGAATACTTGGCAGAACTTGACCACAAAACCATCTGGGCCTGGTGTTTTAATATATTGATTTCATTTCCTCAGTGCTTGTAGGACTACCCCAAATTTCTATTTTTCCCTGAATCAGGTTGGGTTGGTTATATTTTCTAGGAGTTTTGTCATTTTGTATAAGTTATAAGTTTATTGGCATTAATTTTTTCATAGTATTATCTTTTCAATAAACCAACTCTTGACTTTATTGATCCTCTCTGTTGTTTGTCTTCTATTTTATTACTTACATGTTTTATTTCCTCTTTTCTATTTTCTTTGAGTTCATCCTATTTTTCTTTGACTAACTTCTTAAGTTCAGTGCTTGGCCTATTACTTTTCATTTCATCTTATTTCACAATTTAAAAAAACTTTCTATTTTGAAATAATTGTAGATTCACAGAAATTTGCAAAAATACTACAGAGAGATCCTCTGTATCCTTTACCCAGTTTCTCCCAATTATTACATCTTGGGGAACCATAGTACAACATCAAAATCAGGAAAATTCCATTGGTACAGCATATGTGTATAGTTTTATGCTGTTTTATCATATGTCCTGATTTGTATAATCACCATCACATTCAAAATACGGAATTATTCCATCACTACCCAGATCTTCTGTGTGTAGCCTTGCTTTTTGATTTTTGTTTTTGTTTTTATTGAGGTATAACTGACATACAACCTTATATTAGTTTCAGGCATACAAAATAATGATTTGATATTTGTATATATTGTGAAGTGATCACCACAGTCAGTCTAGTTAACCTCTGTCACCATCGAACATATGCTTTCGTCTCGTCATCAGGTCCGATCAGGATGTTGACCTTAGCCACACCAATGTCATAGAGCTTCTTCACAGCCTGTTTGACCTGGTGCTTGTTGGCCTTGACATCCGCAACAAACAGTGTGTTGTTGTCTTCTGTTTTCTAATGGCTGACTCAGTGGCCAGGGGGAACTTGATGATGGCTAGTGGTCAAGTTTGTTTCTCCTGGGGGTGCTCTTCAGAGGCTATTTGGGCTGCCTTCAGAGCTGTGGTGTCTGAGGTCCCTGGAAGGTGGGTGATATGCGGATCTTCTTTTTTATTTTTCTTTATGGCTGTGGATGCCTTTCAGCACTGCTTTCTTGGCCCCCAAAGCCTTTGCTTTTGCTTCAGCTTTGGGAGGGGCAGAGGCTTCCTTCTTCACTTTCAGCATCATCTTTGGGCCATAGACACTTAAAAAATGTGTACTCTGCTGTTATTGGGTGGAATGTTCTATAAATGTTGATTAGATCCTGTTGCCTGATGAGGTGTTGAGTTCTCATATATTCTTGGTGATTGTCTGCCTAGAAGTTTTTATCAGTTGTTTATAGAAGAGTGTTGAAGTCACCATATGTATTTGTGAATTTTCTATTTTTCCTTTTCAGTTGTATTAATTAATTTTTGCTTTATGTATTCTGCAGCTCTGTTGGTTAATGTATACGCACTTAAGATTGCTATGTCTTTTTGGTAGATTGACCCTTTTATCATTATCTAAAATTCTGCTCTGCCCGAAGTAATATATTTGTTCTAAAGACTATTTTAGCAGATAATAACACAGCCACTCCTGCATTCTTCTGATTGATGTTTGCATAGTATATATTTTCCTATTCTTTTACTTTCAACCTACCTATATCATATTTGAAGTGAGTTTCATAGTTGGGTTATGTGTTTTAGTCTACTCTATCTATCTCTGTCATTTAATTGGTATAATTAGACTGTTTACATTAATGTAAATAATGATATGTTAAGGCTTACATTTGCCATTTTAACTTTTGTTTTCTGTGTTTTTTGTTTGTTTCTGTTTCTTTTACCTGCACTCCTGTGGGTTACAATCTCATTTTGATTTCTTTGTAGTATTTTTAAAAAAAATTTAATAGCTTTAAAAATTATAAAAATAATACGTGTTTTTTATAACAAATTCAAATAATCTATAAAGCAAGAAATAAAATTCCATTCTTCTGAAGAGGTACAAAATAAAATAAAGTATTGTATTTCAAGCTACCGGATTGGAAAGATTTGAAGAATGACAAGGTGGTGGTCATAGTAGAAAACCAGTTATCACTGGCTACGTAGAGAGAAGGTATCGGGAGAACATAAATATAAACATTCTTTAATGTTATTTAAAAGAATGACAATATACAACACTGGTAAGCATGTAGGCCAGGGTTTCTCAACCTTAGCACTACTGACATAATTTTTGTTGTGGGGAACCATACCATGTATTATAGGATGCTTAGCAGTATCTCTGGCCTCTACCACTAGGTACCAGTAGCATCTTCAACCCTACTCCTCAGATTCTATAGTATTTATTAGTATATCTCTTTGTATGGATTTTTAGTGGTTGACCTAAGTACTAATTGTACATACATAAATAATCACAGTCTACTACTGTCTACATTTTACCAGTTTGAGTGAACTGTAGAAATCTTATCTCCCTGTTAAATCTTTTCCTCTCCCCTGTTTATAATGATCTTAAATATTTCCTCTACATATGTTGAGACCCATATCATATGTTATCTCTTTTCTTGCTTCAAAAGTCAAGATTTAGGGGGGATGGTATAGCTCAGTGGTACAGCGCATGCTTAGTATGCATGAGGTCATGGGTTGGATCCCTAGTACCTCTGTTAGACAAACAAAAAAATAATAATATATAAGTAATCTAGCTACCCTCCTCTTAAAAGTCAAAATTAAAAAAACTCAAAAGAAGGAAAGTCTCCTTTCTTTATGTATATTTTTACTCTTTCCCTTATTTTTATTTCTTGCTGATATTTTCAGTTTCCTTCTTTTATCATTTCTTTTCTTTTTCAAGAATTTCCTGGAGGAAATCCTTCTAGGATAGGTCTGCTGGTGACAGATTCTTTTAGGTTTCCTTTATCTGAGAATGTCTTAATTTCCTCTTCATTCCTAAAGAGCATTTTAACTGGATATCGAATTCTAAGTTGACCATTCTTTTAACACTTGAAAAATTTTGTGTCACTTTCTTATGGCCTGCGTGGTTTCTGATGAGAATTCCACTTCCATTTGAATTGTTTTCCCTATAGGTACGGTGTAATTTTTCTCTTACTGATTTCAAGATTTTTCTTTGTCATTCATTTTCAGAAGTTTTATTATCATGTACTATGGCATGGATTTCTTTGACCCTCTATTTTGTGTTTGCTCAGCTTCTTGAGTCTGTAGGCTTATGCTTTTGCCAAATTTGGGGACATTTTACCCATTATTTTTTCAAATACTTTTTCAATCCCACACTCTTTCTTCTCTCTCCTCATGACTCCAAAGACATGAATGTTAGATCTTTTGCTCTATTTGTACAGGTCCCTGAGGCTTTGTTTATTATTATTAATTTTTTTACAGTTTTTTTCTCTCTGTTATTTAGACTAAATAATTCCTATTGTTCTATCTTCGTGTTCACTCATTTGCTCTTCTGTCTTCTTCATTCTGATGTTTAGCCTATCAAGTGAGATATTTTACTTAGGTTATTGTATTTTTCAGTTTCAGTTTCCATTTGGTTCTTCTTTTTATCTTCGGTTTCTTTACTGACACTTTCTATTTTTTCATTAGTTTTTATTGTGTTGTAATCGCTCCTTGAAGCATTTTTGTGATGGCTGTTTTTAAAATCCTTGTTAGATGATTCCACTATCTGTTGACACCTCATTGTTGATGTCTGATTGTCTTTTCTTATTTAAGTTGACATTTTCCTGGCTCTTGATATGATGAGTGATTTTAGATTGTATCCTGGACATTTTTGGTATTGTGTTATGATACACTGGGTCTTACTTAATTCTTCTGTTCTAGTGGTCTTCCTCTGACACCATGCTTTCAGGGGAATATGGATACAACCTCTTTCCTGCCAGGTTAGGGGTGGAAGTCCAGCCTCTGTTAACACCCGGGGGTTGAAAGTGGCACTTTGTTACCACTAGATGGTGGTGAAAGTCATGACTCTCCACAAGACCTCTGACACCATGCCAGCAGGGAGAAGGAAGGGTTCCCTTTTACCATCAGATGGGAATGGAAGTCCTGTTTCCCCATGTGATTTCCGCCAGCTGCATGGAGGGACATTTCATTATTATCTGACTGAGTTGAAAGTCTTACCTCCCCAGTTGATCTTCCATTACATCACCCTGGCCGGGGGCTTGGGGTGCCTTGTTATAGCCTGGTAAAGGTGGAAGTCTGCTTTCTCCCTTTGGCATTTGCTGATGTGTGCCACAGTTATTTCCATGATGTTTGGCTGGAATACAGTGGTTATTGTCCAAAAGTTCTCTGCCTTGCTAGGTTGCCCCTTTCTTGATCCTTTGGGTAGAAACAGCAAGCTTTTTTAGGGGCTTTTTTTTTCATACCTGCTGGCATTTCTGGGTTGGCAGCTTTTCTAGCACCCAGTCTGAGACGTATACGGCAGAAAGAATATCCAAGGAACTCACTCCTTGGGTTCCGAGGTTCCTAACTGGTCTGCCTTCTCTTCTCCCCCTTTCAAAGTTTTATGTTTGTTTTATGTATAGTATCCAAGGTTTTTAGCTATAATTTGTGAGAGAAATAAGAGGAAGTATGTCTACTCTTTTGTTCAGGACTAGAAGTCTCCATTCAGTAATTGTTAATATGTAACATTTTCATGTTACTCAGATTAAGAACTTTATCATTTTTCTTATGATTTTTTTCTTTACTGATTAGTTATTTATATTGCGTTCTTAATTTCCAAATATATAGGATGTACTTTTTTGGTTATTTTACTAAACCTACTTGCCTGTGGGTGAGAAAGTTGCTTAAATAAAATTTTAAAAATAAATTCTTCAGATTTTCATTTGTAAGTGGGGATAATAATAGTTTTACTCTCATAGGGTTGTGAAGATTAAATGGATCTGTCCATGAACTTTCCTAAGAAATCATGGGAACCTTCACCATTTTTTTCTTGATCCTCCTTCCACATAACTTCCTGGGGTAAGATGCTTTTTTAAATGAAAATTTTATTGAAATATAATTGCTATACCATATAAATCACTATTTAAAGTGTACAATATAATAGTTTTTAGTATATTTACAGAATTGTGTGAACACTACCACGATCAATTTTAGAACACTTTCATCTTCCCTCAGCAAAACCCCTTAGCAGGCATCTCCCCCACCCCCATCTAGACTTAGGAAGTCACTAATCTATTTTATGCCTCTATATATTTGCCTATTCTGGACATTTCGTATAAATAGAATCATACAATATGTAGTCTTTTGTGACTGGCTTCTTTCACTTAGCATAATGTTTTCAGAGTTGATCCATACTGTAGCATGTATCAGTATTTCTTTCATTTTTATTGCCAAATGTTATTCTATTGTATGATTATACCACATTTTACTTATCTCTTCATCAGTTGATAGGCATATGGATTATTTCCACTTTGGGGCTATTATGAATAATGATGCTATGAACATGTATGTACAAGTTTTCTGTGGACATATGTTTTCATTTCTCTTGGATATATTCCTAGGAGTGGAATTACTGGATCTTGTGGTAACTCTGTTTAGCCTTTAGAGGAATTGCCAGACTTTTCCATAGCAGCTGCCCCATTTTACATTCATACTAACAATAAATGAGGGTTCCAATTGCTCCGCATCCTCACTAACACTCATTATTATCTGTCTTTTTTGTTAGAGCCAACCTAGTGGGTGTGACATGTTATCTCACTTTGGGTTTGATTTGTATTTCTCTAATGGCTAATGATGTTGTGTATCTTCATGTGCTTATTGGCCACTTTACGTTTTCTTTGGAGGAATGTGTATTGAAATCCTTTGCCATTTAAAAAAATGGGATATTTATCTTTTTAATTGCTGTTAAATTATGAGTTCTTTGTACATTCTGAATATAAATTCCTTCAGAAGATATGATTTGCAGATGTTTGCTCCATTCTGTTTGGTTGTTTTTTCACTTTCTTGATAGTGTCCTTTGATGCACAAGTTTTAAATTCTGATGAAGTGTCACTTATCTATTTTTCCTTTTGTTGCTTTTGCTTTTGGTGTCATGTCTAAGAATTCATTGCCAAATGCAAGGTCATGAGAGAATTACTCCTACATTTACATCTAAGAGTTTTACAGTTTTAGCTATTGACTTTAGGTCTAGGATTCATTTTGAGTTAGTTTTTCTGTGTGATGAGAGGTAGAGATGCAACTTTATTCTTTTACATGTGTATATCCAGTTGTTCCATCACCATTTATTGGAAAGAATATTATTTCCCATTGAATTGTCATGGTACCCTTGTCAAAAATCAATTGACTATAAATGTGAATGTTTATTTCTGGACTGGTATTCCGTTGGTCTCTCCTTATGACAGTACCACATTGTCTTGATTACCGCAGCTTTGTGGTAAAATATTGAAATTGGGAAGTTTTGTTCCTCCAACTTCGGTCTTCTTTTTGAAAACTTGTTGTGGCTATTCTGCATCTGTTGAATTCCCATTTGAATTTTAGGATCAGCTTGTCAATTTCTGCTAAGAGGTCAGTTGGAATTTTGACAGGGATTACATTGAATCTGTAGATCAATTTGGGGAACTATTTTGATCATAACAGTATTAAGTCTTCTGATCCATGAACCCAAGATGTCTTTTATTTAAATAGTCTTTCATTTCTTTCAATGATGTTTTGTAGTTTTTGGTGTATAAGCTGTGCACTTCTTTTGTTGAATGTATTCCTAAATATTTTGTTCTTTCTAATGCTATTGTGTGAACAGTACTCTTGAACCATAAACATAAGGGCTATATCCCAAGAATGGCAGACCAAGAGCTGGAAGGAGTCGAGGCATCCTACACAGTTGAGGACCAAAGAGCTTTGTTTCATCTACACAGACAGTTATGTAAGAGAAAAATAAACTTCTATCTCTGTGTCATTTTGTGTGATCTGTCACTCACAGATGAACTCATTTTAGTAAATCTAACCCATGATGCCAATCATTCATTTATTCACTCATTCAACAGTTATCTACTGAAGATATGAAATGTCATAACATTGTGCTAGGCCCTGAATGAGGTGAACAAGACATGTAAATACCAGCTGTTTGAGAACCTCTCAATGACACATAAACTCTAATAAAATTTTTTGAGTAATTACAAGGTGCCATTTGTCCACTCAAGTGAATAGCACAGACTGTGTTTGCCTCCACAAGTCAGAAAAGACAGGGGAGAGAGAGTGAGAAGAGAAGAGATCTCTAAGGACTGGAGTCTTAGAGGAAGATTTGAGGGAGGAGTCTTGAAGCAGTGGAATTTCAACAAACAGGAGAGGCATATAGATGCCTGAGCATTTCAAATGGAATATTGGGTGAGAGGGAGCAACGTTAACAAAGCCCAGAAATGGGAGTGAGGATGGCAGAAAAATTGAGGGGACAATGGAGAAAGGGGCAAGGACCCATTGAGAGAACCGTGAATACCCAACTGTGCAGTCTGTGGGCAAGGTGAGGACCCTCCTTTGGTGTGAGCTGGACTGGTTTATTTAGTGGCATATCAAGGGTAGAGTAGTGGGGGCATCAGGCCTTGAGTACAAGCAATAAGTGGGTACATTGTCTTTAGGGAATTTAAGAACAATATTAAAGTGGCCTAGAATTCGGTTTGCTTTCTATTTTCACCTTGCACTGACAACTCTAAATAACATCACTGTTAACACACTCCTCCTTCCCAAAATCTTTTGTCAGTCTAGGGCAAGCTGTCCAAAGAAATATAGTGTAAGCCACATATGTTGTTTTAAATTTCCCAGTATTTACATTAAAAATAAATAAGTGAATTTAATTTTAATAATATATTTTATTTAACCCGATATATCCAAAATAGTATTATTTCAACATATAATCAATATAAAAATTATTAAATATTTTATATAATTGTTTTCATGCTAAGTGTGTATTTTCCACTTACAGTACATCTCAGTGTGGACTAGCTACATTGCAAGTGCTCATCGTCACATGTGGCTAATGGCTACTGTACTGGACACATTTAAGGTATAAACAAAAGCTTTGGCTACAGTTGCATTGTAATAATAAGTTAAAAGCTCCAAATGAACACAGTGTTATTACTTATTTAATAAACATTGTATTCTACATGGAAGTCAGCTTGGAGGACTCCCCGTTATATAGTCAGTCCCAAAAACGTGTGGATTCACGTGTTTGTGTTTATTTCCCCTACTTAATCAGTAATGGTTTTTTAGAAAAAATAAAATTACATGAGAAAAAATACAAACTTTAACAATAATTATCTGTTAGCATAACGGTTCAGTATACTAGGATAAGCCTATCCTGGCGTGTCTAGCATGTATATTTGTCATCTTTATCTTCATATAAAAAAACTAGTGTTTTATTTTGTTGTTCCTTTTGATTTGGCGTGGTATTCTCCAAATCAATTTTTGTTCTTCCTTTAAAAAATTCTTTCCTTCTACTTGTTTCATTTCTAACTTCTTGAGTTACTTTTTAGCCTTTCATCTTTTCTTTTTCCCTCTGGCTTTATTGAGCTGTAATTGATATATAGTGTAAGTTTAAGGTGTATAATGTGTTGATTTGACAGGCTGATATATTGTAAAAATGATTAGCACCATAGCATTAGCTAACACTTCCATCCTGTCATATGATGACCATTTCTTTTTTATGATGAGAATATTTAAGTTTTAGTCTATTAGCAACATTCATGTATATGATATAATATCATTAGTTATAATCACCATGTTGTACCTTGGATCCTGAGAATTTGTTAATCTAATATCCAATATCTCTTCCCCCTCGCCTCCCGCCAGCCCCTGGCAACCACCATTCTACTCTCTGATTATATACGTTTGGCCTTTTTGGATTCCACATATAAGTGAGATCATATAGTATTTGTCTTTTTTTTTGTCTGACAGAAGAGTTAGTTTGTAATGGTTCATAATTATTAGAGCTGTTTTAGGAATAGATTTTGTCTCTAATTCCTGTGGTATTGCATATTTCTGAGAATAAATAGTAGACTAAAAATAAGGAATGATAATATCACAGTGATTGTAAACCAGAGGAAACAACACGAGATGCATCAATTTTATCATTCTGTGTTAACCACTTGGAGTTTGTATTTGTTTTTAAAATTTAAAACAGGGAAGCAGTGTGCAAACTGTGATATTTAATATTTTTGCTGGTAAGTGAAAATTTTACTTCATACATGAAAATTTTTTAGTTATTTGAATAACATTGTTAAGGTTGAAATGTGTTCTTTTAAATCATTAGTTGTTCATTTTAAAACTAAAGAAAGAATCAAGGAAATTATGATATTTTCTCATATAGAGATGAGTGTGCTAAAAGATGATCCACCCTGAGTATCAAATTCAGTACATGGCTGTATTAGTCTGAGTTCTCCAGGAAAACAGAATCAGTAGGCCATACACACACACACACTATATATATATAAATATAAAATTTATTATAAGGAATTGGATCATGTGACTATGGAGGCTGAGAAGTCCCAAGATCTGCAGTCAGCAAGCTGGAGACCCAGGAGAGGCAGTGGTGTGGCTCCAGTCCAAGTACCAAGTCTTGAGAACCAGGAATGCCACTGGAATAATTCCAGTGTGAGTCTGAGGTCTAAGGCAGGAGAAGACTGATGTCCCAATTTGAAGACAGTCAGCCAGAGAGAGAGAATTCTCCCCTACTCAGCCTTTTTGTTCTATTCGGGTCTTCAACTGATTGGGTGAGGCCCACCCACATTAGGGAGGGCAACCTGCTTTACTTAGTCTACCAGTTCAAATGTTGATCTCATCACAGACCCACCCAGAATAATGTTTAACCAAATATTTGGGCAGCCCGTGGCTCAGTCTAATTGACATATAAAATTAACCATCATAAGTGTAGGTTGCTGGTTTTACCAGAGAACATTTCTTTACACATTCCTCCTCTCCACCCTATGCATACCCCCCTGCCTTTTTTAAATAAACAATACTGTGATCTCCACCCACATCAAATTATGGGCTGTGTCCAAGTTAGTAAAGCACATTTCTTATTATTGCTCTCTAAAGCAGATTATCCACATTTGCTCTGAGAACCTTACTCTTGGTGAACTCACCCCATCCACACAATTGTGACAACTCTCATTCGTATGTAAAGAGAAGACTTAATCAGAGCAAAGGCATGCATTTCAGTGCCCTACAGAAAATGTACAGTCTTAATGCGAATGTGTTCCAGTGAATGATTCTAGCCTAGAGAATGCTTCTATTGAAGCTAAGAAGATGAAAAGTAGATTAGGCCATTTGTCAGTTCTGTGACTTGAAGGACAGATACCATTTTGTGAATCAGGAGTTTGATAAAAGACATTCTGGTTATGTGAGCTTGGATATTTTAAAGGACAAATCTTTTGGCCTAAAACCAAAGCATATATAATAAAAACCTGCTATAACATGGTTAGTTTATGGGATGGATGTCACTCTTATCCTGTATCTATATTAATATGGAGGTGGTCCTGCTATATGACTGAATAAGCATATTCCCTCTGGAATAGAGTAAAGCCTATATGCTCTCCTGGAGTTTCCTTTCCATTCATGAACTGTTTCTTGGCTCTCAATAAACAATACAGGCTTTATTTTGTTTGTGTATATATCTGACTTTACTAGTTTCTTTTTTTTTTCATTTAGTTATCTTGCACCATCATTTATTATAGTCTTATATACCTATCTCGAGTGGCCTTTATTACGGTCTCTAACCTACAGATCTTTATATAGATCCTTCTCCCTCAAAAATTGCTGAAACCATAAAAAGCATCAGAGTGTAGGTACTCATATCACACCATAAATCTTTATTTTTTATTCCTAGGCAGATGGAATTCCAAACTATTTTAGATGACAGTTTGGTATCTGAAATGATTAATCTCCCCCTTCTTTACACATAGCTATTTGTATGAAGCGTAGTCTTTAAATAGACAAGGTTATCAATAGGTACAAACCTTAATGAAAGAAGAACTCATTGCAACATGACTCCCTTCTTTGGGTCTGTGATCTTATGATCTTTCAGATAACCACTCTCTTCAACCAGAAAAAAATTGTTCACTTGCAATAGGCCCTTGGGCATAATATGACATTTATGATGTATAGAGTGTGCATTTCATATTTATTTCTCATGTATTTCCTTTGGTTAAAAACTAATATGCAATCTACAATATCCAAATAAATGATTTGACATATTTTATACAACACATGTTCAAGCAATTAATTTTCTCATGGAAATGTCATACCATTTAACTCATAGTTATGAGCCAAATATTTGTGCAGTAGTTCGTAATGAATATATGCATAATCACAGATTGCCCTACTTTCTTTATTCTCAAATATAATTTAAAGGGACAGAATCAGGGTGCACTGGACTTCACATTATTTAATGCTTGATGCATATTAGGCTCTCAATAACTCCTTATTGGATGAATAAATACATGACTGGACAATTTGGCAGATTTTATCAAATCCTTTAAGTTTTGGGTTAGTCTTATTGGAGCCTTATTATATTACTAACATAATTAACTGTGTATGTTTTGAAAAGACTTGTTTGCCAAAGAGTACAGCAAAAAATAATTATGGATATATGTGAATAATGATGATGTAAAAACCAATTTATATGCATCAAGTAGGGAACATCTATATCAGTTAGATTATTTCCAATGGCAGGTGACAAAAAACAAGGCTCAAAATGGCTTAAAAATAAGGAAATCTATTACCATGCCGAAAAGTAATGCAAGCTCCAGGCACCGTTCGAGCAGAGATTTGCTTTCTTTCTTTCAATTCTCTTGGCGTTGTGTGTTTCCTTTGTCTTCAGTCTGACTTCCCTCATGGTTACGAAGTGGCTGCCAGTGCCAGCAACACCTAGGACAATGTGCTTTCTTGCTCATGTTCAGTGGGAGAGAGCAAGAAATTATCTTCCCCCAACCATAGCCTAAAAGTCTTTTCCTACAGTGTGATTGGGTGGAATGAGGTCATGTGACCACACTTGCTTGGGGAATGCCATGCCCTGATTGCCCTTAAACTTAGATCTCTGAACCAGTAGCTGGTAGGAATGATGGGATTACCTTGAATAGCTGAGACTAATCAAGACCTATTCCTTGAGCTGAGGAAGGAATCAGTTTCTCCTGAGTCAACTGGGCTCTGGGGAAGTGAGGAGGATGTGTAAACAGAATTGGGTTCTGTTAGGAAGGAAGAAGGGGGAGATGGATACTGTGTATGCAAATAACAGTGTCTACTCCAACATCACACTTTAGACATTGCTTACCATTATTATTTTTCTTTCTTTAAAATGCCTTTATTAAAGACTTGATTTTTCTACAGCAGTTTTGGGTTCACAGCAACACTGAGAGGAAGGTGCAAAGATTTTCCGTATACCAACTACCCCCACAGATGCCTAGTCTCTATTATCAACATCCCCCACCAGAGTGGTACATTTGTTACAACTGATGAGCCTACGTTGATACATCGTTATTCCCCAAAGACCATAGTTTACATTAGAATTCATTCTTCTTCTTGTACATTCTGTGCATTTGGACAAATGTGTAATGGCATGTGTCCATCATTTAGTATCATACAGAATAGTTTCACTGTCCTAATAATCCTCTGTCCTCCACCTATTCATCTCTGGCTCCATCTTCACCCCTGTGGCACCACCCTTCCTCAAAAGAGGAATTGAACTAGTCAATCAAGGAGAGATATTCCTATATCTCCACAAAAATGAGAATTGATTCTCTCCTAAAGATACATTCCTCAGTGAATTAAGAAAATGAAGACAGAATGGGAAAATGTAGTCAGTCTTTGCCAAATTTTTATTCTTTTTGAAAAAAAATTTACTTTGCTCTTGATTGGTATCTATCAAGACCCCATTATGCTTTCGTTCATTTTTACCTGCTTATTCTCTTACTCTTTCTTTCAAAAGTGATCAGCTTCTTTGTATCATCTCTGAAAAAAATAAGTCTAAGAATCACCAAGAGAAATCCATTATCACCTCTTATAGGTTTTGCACTTTCTTTCACAAAACTGATCTAGGGGAAAAAAGAGAGAGAGAGACCTGCCATCCCCGTTGATGCTTATTGAGAATAAGGTGGCATATCAGTGGCATTCTGTTTGGATCTCAGCTTTCTCACAGTTATTTAACTTTTTCTGAAATTACTTAGATTAATACCTCGGATAGAAAACTCTGCACCGACAGCTTGGATATCACGATTGATCAAATCTGGTTTAAGAGGTACAGAAGTGGTGGGTCATCGGCCCACAAAAGAGCAGGCTCATTGGCTCTGGCCACTTGGGACAAAGGGACAGAAACCAATTGAAAAGTCTGCTGAACCAAACACAGGGACTTTGGGAAGAAAACAAAACAGACTTCCAAGATCCATTCACTTTCTGAGCAACCCAGTACTAACTTGTGGGTGAACATACTAGAGAAATGGGTGTGGCCTGTGGCTTTCTGGAAGAATCATTGCCTTTTCTTTAAGGTCCTGCTTTACATAACCACTGTCAAACATTAGGGAAGGCAAAATCTCTTATGTGGAAAGAAGAGTGTGATTGCCTTTTAATTTTTTAAAAACTCCTCCATTTTATTCTATGCATATGCTGTATAAAACTTTACCTGTGAAAAAAGGGGCCATTCTTATGTATGATTTCACATCCTGCCTTTTTTTCACATTTAAGCGTTTCCCCCACATTATTAGTCTTCAGAAAAATAATTTTTGGGGGTGGGGGGGCAATAGTAGACATTTCTTTTTTTCTTCCAGTTATATTGAGATATATTTGACATAGAGTGCTGTATAAGTTTAAGGTGGGCAGCATAGTGATTTGACTTACATACATCATGAAACAATTATCACAAGGTTTAGTGAGCATCCATCATCTCATATAGATACACAATTAAAGAGAAAGAAAAAATTTTTTTCCTTATGATGAAAGCTCTTAGGGTTTATTCCCTTAACTTTCATATATAAAATTCTGCAGTGTTAATTATATTTACATTATGTTATATTATGTTATATATTACATCCCTAGTACTTATTTATCTTATAACTGGAAGTTTGTACTTTTTGACTACCTTCGTCCAATTCCACATCACCCCCCAAGCTCCCATCTCCAATAACCACAAATCTGAATTCTTTTTCTGTGAGTTCGTTTGTTTATTTGAAGTATAATTGACCTACAGCACTATGGTAGTTCCTGGTGCACAACAGAGTGAGTCAATATTTCTGCACATTTCCAAATGATCACCATGATACATCTAGTTACTATCTGTTCCCATGCAAAGATATTACATAGTTATTGACTATACTCTCCATGCTGTACATTTCATCCCTGTGACTCATTTATTTTGTAACTGAAAGTTTGCACCTCTTAATCCCTCCCACCTATTTCACTCATCCCCCCCACTCCCTCCTCTCTGGCAACCACCTGTTTGTTCTCTATATCTGACTCTATTTATGTTTGGTTATGTTTATACATTTGTTTTGTTTTTTAGATCTCACATATAAGTGACACACAGTATTTCTCTTTCTCTATCTGACTTATTTCACTTAGCATAGTAACTTTGGGAGACATCCATGTTGTTGCAAGTGGAAAGATTTCATTCCTTTTTATGGCTGAGTAATATTCCACCGCATCTTCTTTCCTATTCATCTGTTGATGATCTATTGATGATCTCTTAAGTTTGAACACATTCTAAAAACCATGCATTTTTACTCCCTTCAAACACTTAACTATTTTTGGTGTCCTACTTTACAGTGCTTTGTTTTGTGTATCCTTTAACTACTTATTGTGGGTGTAGATGGGTTTACTACTTTTGTCTTCTAACCTTCCTACTAGTTTATAAATGGTCGATCTGCTAACTTTACCATGTATGTGCCTTTACTAATGAGACTTTTCCTTTCATAATTTTCATATTTCTAGTTGTGGTCTTTTCAGCTTAGAGAAATATCTTTAACATTTCTTGTAAAGCCAGTTTAGTGGTGCTGAATTCTTTAGCTTTTGCTTGCCTGTAAAACTCTTTACCTGTCCTTCAAATCTGAATGAAAGCCTTGCCAGGTGGTATATTCTTGGTTTGTAGTTTTTTTCCTTTCATCACTCTAAATATATCATGCCACTCTGTTCTGGCCTGCAAAATTTATGCTGAAAAGTCAACTGATGTTCTTACGGGAGTTTTATTGTCCATAACTAGTTACTTTTCTTTTGCTGCTTTTAAGATTTTCTCTTTATCTTTAATTTTTTGCCATTTTAATTATAATATGTCTTGGTGTGGACCTCTTTGGGTTCATCTTGTTTGGGACTCTCTCTGCTTCCTGGAATTGGATGTCTCTTTTCTTTCCCAGATTAGAAAAGTTTTCAACTATTATCTCTTCAAATAACTTCTCCGATCCATTCTCTCTCTCTTCTCTTTCTGGGACTTCTGTGATATGAATGTTAGTATGCTTGATGTTGTACCAGAAGTCTCTTAAACTGTCCTCATTTTAAAAAATTCTTTTTTTTTTTTCTTCTTAGCTTGGGTGATTTCCACTACTCTGTCTACCAGTTCCCTAATCCATTCCTCTGTATCATCTAATCTATTGCTAATTCTTTCTAGTGTATTTTTTATTTCAGTTATTGTATTCTTCAGCTCTGTTTGGTTCTTCTCTATATTTTCTAACTGTGCTCATCCATGTTTTCCCCTGTGTTCATTGAGCATTTTTATGATTATTGCCTTGAACTCCTTATCAGGTAGATCGATTATCTCCATTTTGCTTTGTTCTTCTGCTGGGATTTTATCTTGTTCCTTTGGAACATATTCCTTTGTCACCTCATTTTGTTTAAGTCTCTGTTCATTTGTATGTATTAGGTTGGTCAGTTACGTTTTCAGATCTTGGGGAAGTAGCCTTATGGATGACACATCCTATGTGGCCAAGCAGCACACCAGAGTTACATGGTTTAGTGGTGCCTGCCATGTGGGCTAAGGGGCCCTTCTGTTGAGGTGGGACTGAATACTGTGGGTGCATTGTTATGTGGGCCTGGCCTCCAGCTGGTTGGCCACCAGGCCCTGCTTTGTGCAGAGACTGCTGGCCACTGATGAGGCTGAGGCCTGGGTAGCATGGAGGGCCCCTGGACTGATGCTAACCAGCTGGTGGGCAGGTAAGCCCCTGGTGGTAATAAGCTAGAGGGAGGATTCCAAAATGGCACTTGCCAGCACCAGTGTCCTTGTGGTATAAGGAGCTCCCCAAATGGCTGCCACCAATGTCTACGTCGCAGGAGGAGTCCCAGTTGCCTCCTACCTCTCTGGGAGGCTCTTGAAGATCAGCAAGTGGGTCTGACCCAGGGTCCTTTCAAATTATGGCTTCTGCCCTGGGTCTTGGAGAGAGTGAGATTTTGCATGCCTCCTTTAATAACATCGTCTCTGTTTCATACAGCCCTCCAGCTCTCCCATATGTAAATCCCACTGGCCTTCAAAGCCAGGCGTTCTGGGGACTCGTCTTCCTGGTGCAGGACTCCCAGGCTGGGGAACCTGGTGTGGGACTTGGATCCCTCACTTCTTGGGGAGAACCTCGCAACTGTGATTATCCTCTTGTTTGTGGGTCACCTACCTGGGAGTGTGCATCTCTGCCCCTTCTACCCATCTCGTTGTGGTTCTTTATCTCTATCTTATCTCTCTTTTTTATTCTTTAAAGTATTTCTTTTAAAATATAGAAGGGAAGATATAGCTCAGTGGTAGAGGGCATGCCTAGCATGCCTGAGACCCTGGATTCAATCCCCAGTACCGCCATTAAAAAAAATTAAATAAATAAGCCTAATTACCTCCAACCTCCCCCCCCCAAATAAATAAAAATGAGATATAATTTAGAGACTGTAAAATGCACATATCTAAAGAATACAGTTTGATGAATTTTGACAAATCTGAACACATCTTCTTCAAGACAAAGAAGATTTCCATAACCTCCAAAAGTGCCCTGCTGTCTCCTCTTATTCAATTCTCTATCTCCCCACAACCACTCTTCTGATTTCTATCACCATAGATTCATTTTGCCTATTCTTGAACTTCATATAAGTGGAATTATATAGTATATGCCCGTTTATGTCTGGCCTCTTTTTTACTCAGCAGTTATTTTGAAATTCACCTATGTTGTTGTGTTTATCAGTAGTTCATTCTTTATCATTGCTAGTAATATTTCATTGTATGGATATATGACAATTTGTTTATTCACCAGTTAGTGGATATTTGGGTTGTTTCCAATTTGGGTCTATTATGAATCATACTACTTGTAACATTTTTTTTCCAAACAAATTCTAGAAGGGGTGAGAAATGGTAAGAAATGATAGATGGGTCAGTGATTCTTCATTTTCTTTTTGAAGAGAAAATACAGAGAAGCAAGGAGATGCAGCTGAAAGACTGGGGATGGAGGGGTGATGACAAATGAAACAAATGGAGCTTTGAGAAAGAAAATCCACGGGGAAAGTTCATTTAAAAAGAGAAAAGAGAATTAAAATGAGCAAGGATAAGAAGAAGCAATCAATCAAGATTGCAAGCACCAATCAATCAATAAACGAGGAACAAGAAAAGCCTATAAAAATCAGAATAAGTAAAAAAGAAATCGAATCATGAAACTTCTATTTTTAATGCAGTTCTTTGAGAGCTCCTGAAATGAAGACAAACAAACTTTTGAGCTTTCTCCACATGGACTTCGGCCCCTCGTGTGTTCTTGATGCTCTAATGCTTTACATGAACGTTTTCTATGGGCAACACTCTTTCCCTTGCTTGCCGGAGCAGAAGAGCGTTCAAAGTGGCTTTGATCAGGGCAGCACACTCAGGGCAGTCTGTCAGGGAGGAAGCCAGGAGGCTTTTTAATTTAAAAATAAGTGCTGTTTTGTCTCCCCTGTTTCCTTAATTGAGGCAGAAGCTGAATCTAGGACACAGCCTGGTGGGAGATTGGCCATGGCCCAGTCACGTGGAGACTGGATTCTGAGCGAGAATGGGATGGTGAGGATTTCAATGCCTTCAACCAGAGACGGAGGAAAGCAAAGACAGGCAAGACGGTCCAAGATGGCTGCAACTCTTTTTTATCTTAAAGAGACTCTGCAGACCTGAGAGGTGAAAATTTCTTTTTTACTGTGATGTTGCTGACATTTTGACCTAGGAGATTTGTTTTCTCTTGAATCCAGAGAGGAAGCACAAAAGGAATGATAAGAAATGTCAGGCAAGAAGGAAGAGGAAACACACAAGGGATATTGAAGACATTGCTGATGGAGTTTTATAGTGCTTTATGGTACTCTTACCCTGCCCGCCCCACTCTCCCGGACTTTCAGATGGGTTTGAAGTGAATTTGATGGATAAAAGCATGAAAGGAGGGAGAGGAATGGGCTATGGCTGTGATCTACAGCTATTGAAAGGTGTTAACACAGAAGACGGATTTATTTGGTCTATAAATCCCAGGGGGACATAACCATGAGAAATACAGTGTGGTTTACAAAAATTCTGATTGAAAAAGAGGAACAATTTCTGGATGTGAGGACTATTGGAATACAAAATAAAACGAAATACTATATGTTAACACACTTAAAGGGGTGAAAATGCTATGCAGATTCAAAACATGATTTTTATTCAGCCCTTAAGGGAGATGGTGGTAACTCCACCATTAAAACACACCAGAGAAACACAGGCCACAAACACTCTGGGGACCAGATGAGACCACAGCATATGCAGGGATCCCTTGGGGGAAGTGAAATATTCTGTCTGCTTCCCCCAATTCCCAGAAGGTTACCACTTCTATTTGATGGGCTTTGTTTCTTCCCTGATGTAAATGGCTGCTTTTTTTGAAAAATCTCAAGTGATGTATGTGGCTGGGGACCATCTGCTTGGTGTCAGGTGATGTTAGGGCAGACATTAACCTTTCAGGAAACTTGGTGGATTTTCATCTCTTAGATGTTACAGCGTATTCCTTGCAGGAATCATTAGGGGGCATTTCCACATTCAGTGTTTGGGAGAAATTGGAACTGTGCTTATGAGTTTGAAAAAGAATTCTCTTTGGGAAGCCACTTTCAAACAGAAAATACAGTTTCCTGTTCCATTGTATAGCCTAGGGGTGGGAGTTGGGGGGCTCGCAGTAATAATAATCTCATCCACTGTCAAGTTCATCTTCTATTCTGGGCCCTTTGCACCTGTTATCTTGTTTAATACAATAACCCTCTGAAGAAGGATGTTATAAATGAGTAAACAGAGACCCTAAGATAGTATATAACTTGACCAGAGTTACCGAATTAGGATATAGACAGCTCAGGATTGGAATCCAGTCCTGTGCTCTGAAGCCTGTGCTTGCCTTCCCTCATCATAAGGCTGCAGGGAATATTGTTGCTTTTCTCCATGCACTCGATTTCAGTGTCTGTGTTTTCATGTGGATTCTCCCAGAAGCAATTCTGAGACAAGGATTTGGAGGCAGGTAGCTAATTCTAAAGGTGACCCCAGAAAACACTGGTAGGGACGTGGAAAAGGGAGACAGGGAAGGGAAGGTAGCCAATAAATGGTCCATTATTATTATTTTTAAATAATTTTTAAAATAAATTCTTTCTTACTAATTAAATTTTTTTTTCCTCTTGACGGAGGCACTGGGGATTGAACCCAGGACCTTGTGCACACCAAGCCTGAGCTCTACCACTGAGCTATACCCTCCACCCACTAAATGGTCCATTATCGAGCAAGTTGCCACTGTAGGTGACTGGGGCTCAGTCCTGCAGGGGAATTTGGGAAAATGAGTTATCCTGCCTGGAAAGCAAGGAAGCTGGTGCATTTATGTATCCTCCACTCCTGAGTGTCTTTGGTTGAAGGTTGCCGTGGTAGGGGTGGGGCATGAATTCCTAGCAGGCAAAGCTGGCTCTGATGGCCAAAGAATGCCCTCCGTCTACAAAAGGAAGGTGCTGGAAGTCAAGGTCAGGCTGGTGTGCATGGAAGTGTAAAAGATGAGGACAAGTGAGGAATAGATGCTTGGGGACCATGGACCTCCCTGGTGTCCGGAGTGCCGGCTAAATTGGTGTTCAGCACAGAGCCTTAAATGATGCTGATCTCCTGGCTCTTCAAGGGCTCAAGTATTCCCCTCTGCACTCCTGTATGAGAGTGGCAGAGAATCTGGACACCATCTTGCCAAGGGGGAGGGCCACTGTGTTGTGCCAAGAAGGAACAATGGCATGACTTTTCTTACCAGAGAAGTCTCTCTTAGACTCATGATTGCCCAGAAACCCAGTGATGTGCTCACCACCTATAGAGAAATTATAAAAACTAAATATATGACAGTTACTGGAGAGGCTGGAGATATGACAGAGGATCTGCTGATTCTTCTAGATGCTGTGTTCCAGCCATTTTTTTTCCCTGGATGTTGCATAACACCCTGCAAGGCTCTCTCAGATCTCTTAGCAATTAGCTTGTGTCATTAAAATCTTATCTACAATTTACTCTCCAGTCTAAATTCTGGCTTCAAGTTCTGCCTGATCTGTTCTTCTCTGGGCACCTGAGTAGTTCAGAGGCCTGTGATATAGATAAACCCCCATAGAGGACCTGATATCCCAAATCACACTGAATATTTTACCGAGCGGGTAAAACTTTTTTTTTAAATTTATTTCTATTGAAATATAGTTGATTTACAATGTCGTGTTAGTTTCAGGTGTACAACAAAGTGATTCAGTTATATATATATGTATATACATACATATATATATACACACACACACACATATATATAGCCTTTTTCAGATTATTTTCCATGATAGGTTATTACAAGATATTGAATATAATTCCCTGTGCTAGTAGTGTGTATATGTTAATCCCAAACTCATAATTTATCCTTCTCCCCTACCCCTTTCCCCTTTGGTAACTATAGTTTGTTTTCTATGTCTATGAGTCTATTTCTGGTTTGTAAATAAGTTCATTTGTATCATTTTTTAAAGATTCCACAGATAAGTGATATCATATTATATTTGTCTTTCTCTGTGTGACTTACTTCACTTAATATGATCATCTCTAGGTCCATCCATGTTGCTGTAAATGACATTA